GCATTGGATGAACATGCGCTTGAGAGAGGTTGTTCATGACCTTGGGGTTTCACCAAACCAAGGCTCAATCATGATTTATTCGAATGATCCAAATTGATAGATTGCTCAATTCTGAGATTGACATTTACTACTTACTCTTCTAACCTGATTTGAAGGCAATTGGGCCAATATTTTAGTTAGATTTTAGTTTATAATTTTGAGCTTTCATTAAAGTTTTGATTTATTGTTGATCAGATAAGAAGTGCCCAATTTAGTATTGGTAATTGTTGCCTAAATCCTCGTGGGAACGATACTTCACTCACTACTTTATTAATTGAACGGCTAGTGCACTTGCTAGTGTCACAATGAGCCACACACCAAGTTATAATGTAGCGAGCTGTCCTGCGAGGACCTTAACGAGCTCGTTACTCAGTCGTAGTCAGGCTATCATGCTAAGTTGTTGCTTACGTTGAATCACGTCCACATGTCGCCTTCTTAGGAGGTCAGGTCAAATCACCCTCCATCAATTGCCCCCCACTCCTTGGGCTAAGGATTCCACCCTAGCGTGAGGAGTTCATGGAGTGTGACGGGTGGATTTGACCCGAAATTCAAACTTGATTGACCGATCGCATTAAATACACACACGGATGTTAGGTGATTTCTGGATTTTTCGAATGCCAAAAAGCGCGCCAAAACAGCCCTCACCTCCGGAAGTCGTGTAGCCGGCATTACTTTAATCATGGAAGACGTGCAGCCAGTCACATTTCGGTTTCAGAAGACATGCGGTCAGCTTGACTGCGAACCGTCAGATTCGCTTTAATCTGAGTCGTTGGTTTGTGGGCACAGTGGCTATAAATAGGAGGGCCCCAAGCCTCATTTCCTTCACGCCAACTTACCTTGCCTTCGGATTCTAAGGTCGTGCCTTCACCTAACTGCTCGAGCTCTTCTCCTGTTCACACCGTCTTTTCGGTTCAACTTTTTCCTAGTGAGTCTTATCGCTTTGTCAGCAATGTCAGGGTACCCGTACAATGTCTTCCCCCATGGCGGTAACCAAGATGACGCCCCTTCAGGGAGAGCTTGGGGGCAGGCTCCGGAGGCCTCCAACAAGATGGCTTCCACCTCCCGGGGTAGGGAACCGGATAGCTTTGGTCCTTCCTCCATGTCGATGGAGAGACTCAGGACCTTGGTCCTTCAAGCTCGCAAGGGAAGCGAGGCCCAGGAGCTGCTCGTCTGAGACCAGGAAGCACAGATCGCCCGGCTGTCTGAGGAGAGCGCTCGCTACCGGGAGGAGTCGTCGAGGGTGATAGCGGAGAGGGAGCTCCTTCGCCAGTAAGTCTAGGACTTGGAGTCCACCCTTCAGGATCGGACTCGGAACTTCGACGTCATGGTGGAGGCTGAGCGAGCTAAGGCGGTGTGGGACTTCAAGGACTCCCAGGAGTACCACGACCTCCAGGTGGAGTATGGCTCGAGCTCCTACCTTTCTGGATTTAAACTCTGTCGCTGGCTGGTCCGGAAGAAGTTCTCCGAGCTCAACCTTGAGGGCATAACAATGAAGGGTTTGGATCTAGAGATGGCGGACTTGGCAGAGGAGGAGGAGACTGACTCTCCGGAGGACGATGAGGACGTGGAGGCGGCGGAACCTTGAGGCTGGCTACTCTTGTTTTTCTTTCTTCTTGATGACTTTTTGAAGTGGTTGTTCCCGGGTGTTTGTACCCGGCTTTAAATATCTCTTTTTTTTATGAACTATCTTGGGTGGTTGGGCCCGATTTTTTTTTTTCTATTTTGATGAACTTCTTTCGGGTCGTTTAAGCCTGGTTCTTTGTTTTTAAAAGTTAGTAATGAAATGTTT